TTTAATTATGCATTTATTTTACAATATTTATTTCTTAAATGTAATTACTTTGATTATATTAATAAAGAAAAACTGATTATATATATATATATATATATATATAATTCTATAAAATTAAAACTGATTAAATACGAAAAAGTCTGAAAAGCAGGTCATGTTATTACGACCTCTGCCCAAAAACCTTAGGAAAAACCTTTAGCGAAAAAGCTACAATTATGGTGAAACATCTCAAGTTGAGGTTCTTCACTTTTCAAAAACCTTCCTAAAAACATCCTAAAAATCAACATGGCAAATGCTCTAAGAAAAATCATTTTAAAAAATTTAAAGAGTAAATTACATTATTTGATATTTTGTGATTGTCGATCACTCACTGTCAAGTCTAGCCCCTATTTTAAAATAATTACACTTTTGATCTTCTGGTTGTCATTTTTTTTTTGGATTTGGTTCATCTAGTTGTCATTTTGTTTCGAATTTGGTTCATCTGATTAACTCTGTTAAAGAACTCGGTTAACTTGTGGGCATTTTTGTTCTTTTACTACTTTTTTTTCTTTTTCTTTTGTATCATATTTTTTACTCTTCTTTTTTATCATATTAACTCCAGTCATCTTACCCAGCAAATTTCAATTTGAACAAAAACTATGAAATAAACCTCTAAAATGAAACAATTCAGATTTCAAAATAAAACGCATGTTCCAAAAAAACCAGATTCAAAATCTTAATCCCAAAATCAAAATCATTGATTCCAAAATCAAAAACAAATCCAAATTCCAAAATTGAATCAAATCAAAATCCAAAATCAAAAACCTAATTCTAGAATCATACTTAGTTCCAAAGTCAAACTCTAAGTCCAAAATCAAAACCCCAATTCCAAAATCATGCCCATATTCAAAATCAAACTCAAATTTGAAATCAAAACCCTTTAAAAATCAAACTCAAATCCGAAATCAAAATCAATTCATAAAGGGAGCTTTGATTTGTGATGAGGACATGGAGGGGTTTAAAAGGTGTTCGTAGGTAGGGTTTAGATCGACATAGAAGGAGGCGGAGTTCTTCGTCCGAGATGGAGAGTAATGCATGTGTCTATGGAGTGAAGAAAAACAACCGTCTTCGAATGGTTAGAGGGATTACTTCATATTCATATTTGGCTTCGTGAGAAACGACCCTTTTTGTGCATGTAATCAGTGTTGTTCCATTTGTGTTAGTAAAGAGAAGTCACTATCATCGACATCTAACCTCCATAAAACACTAAGTGTAGGGTTATGTAAGGAGATGAGACAACATCGATGAAGGTACATAGTTTATTTTCATCGGGGAGAAGAAAAAGAGGGGGCTTTTTGTTCTCTATCAGCAAAGCCGATCAAAGGGTAGGCAAGAGAAGGGGTAGGCCAAAGAAAGGGTAGTTCGGAGAAGGATGTTTTTCGTTGGGAAGGTGGTGGTAGTGTTTTAATTGGCTTGAGTATGTATATGATTTAATAATATATTGTTGGTTTTGGGATATAATGATTTACACAAGATGTGTTTCTAGTGATTGCGAGGCCCCAATTCTTGACACAAGTAATTAGTTTATCAGAATCCAAGTAATCAAAAATTCAGGAAACTAGAAATATATATATATATATATATATAGGTGTGAAGTGGGAGAGAAGGGATGTCATAATTGGGGTCCAATCCACGAAATAATTTGATCTATGGACAGCATCATTGTGGTAAAGGTCGTATGTATGGATTCTCGAGAAGAGAGGAGCCATGGTGGTCCCCCAGACTCCTACGGGAGGCAGCAGTGGGGAATTTTCCGCAATGGGCGAAAGCCTGACGGAGCATACAATCAAATAGAAAGCCCCAAGGGCGCCATATTCTAGGAGCACAAACTATGTGATTGAATAAATCCTCCTCTATCTGTTGCGTCATGCTTGCCTTTGGTACTCCGGAGAAGCAAATCATTCGTCCTCTTCTCTCTGAAAGAAGGGGCGCTTCCGGTTCTGTCGGTCGAATTGACTAATACGGTATATTTTCCACGTTCATAGGAGTGCATCTATGTTTCCGGATTGCAGGCTGCAACTCGCCTGCATGAAGCCGGAATCGCTCTTTCTTATGTATCGAGGATCACCGAAATAAGCAAGAATACTATTTATACGGACAATACTTTGGCTGATATTAGTAGATGCTAACTTCTTTTCCCGGAGAAGAAGCAATGACGGTATCTGGGGAATAAGCACTAGCTAATCAGACGCGAGCCCCTCCTCGGTGCTAATAATCGAAAGAATGAAAAGGAAGGGTACTCTTCAAATTTGAAGGAAAAAGATAGTTATTCAGACAGTGATGCCAATTTTACCTAAGAAACTACTACTCAGAAGTTCTTTCAAAGTGGATGAGTAACAGTGTATGACAAAAGTTCCCTTTCATAGTTGTCATTGCATTAAATGTTACTATCCAACTTTAACGTGTGTCTTGATATGATTTGGTGATCCATGCGTGTTTGTACTCTTCATTTCAGCCTTTGTGGTTGATGTAGACACTTGTTAACCTATCTTATTCTTTTGTCTGCAAAGGGAGCGGTAAAGAAAGTATGACACTAATAGAATAGTGTTTTAGAACTTACTTTGGCTGACATGTTGAGTATGTTCCATACCAGGATGAGTGTTGATAGAGTTGGTGACTCAAACTTACTAGACAAGTTTGCACTCCAAAAAAGGCTTGCCAATAGTAGTATTTGTCAGAGTACTATTTGACTTTATCTTATATTGATTTTCTTTTGGGTAGATGACAATCCAATCCGCTTTGGTGGCGATATTGACCTCACTTCAACTAGTCTTCGATTTTGTTGAAGGTTTTTCATTCTTGGATCAATATAGATAGTTATAAGACTTTGTAGATGAAAAATCCTATCTTTTCTATTTTGAAATATAAGATATAGATCGGATTACAATTAAAGAATAATTATGAAGTTAGAACATCAGATACTAAGAACTTCGAATAAAATGTGGCTTCTTGATAACCAAGATTGAATGACCATAAAGATAGGTCAATCCGATTATCCCATTCGGATGGAGAATAACCAAAATGTGATCTCACGTTTTATCTGAGTTATGGATCCAATAGTGACTAAGATCTGAAGCCTTGAACCTAACAAATTTCTAAGATTCGGTTGTTAATCTTTTTTTTGAAGTATATAATATTTATATACCGCAAATAGAACAAATAAACTCACACACACTCCTCACATTGGGTGAGGTTTGAACCCTTGACCTCCTAGGACGCCAAAGACTCAAATACTGCTAAGCCAAAGGCCTTTTGGTGGGTTGTTAATCTTCTTGTATCATATTAGATTGATAAAAATTGTATATCAGATATGAGGATTACAAGGCAAGTATAAGAATATCTTTCTAAGTTTTGAATCAGATGCTAGTCGTATTATTTACAAATTTGATGGTTGAGACCAATAATTTATCCCTAGGTGTGAATAATATTGTTGATCACCTTTCTCAATGATTTGATGATGTCCCTTTTACCTTACAAAGTGTACTATCTCTATATTCAGCTTCAACGATCATCACTGAGTTTGTTCAGTGATCGCTAAACATGTACTGTAATTCCTTTAGAGACCAGTATCCTTCAGGAAGACAAGACTCATACCACAGATCCTTCAGCAATATCGAAGATAGAAGTAGAAGAAAGAGTCTAGCAAGTTTGTGATATGAAGTGTTTTTCAGTGATAACAAGTTCGTCTACATAAGTGTGAAATCTACACAAGATTCAGTGAACACTGAAAAAACCTCAGCGTTGTTCCAGTGTCAGCGATCAAATGAATCTTGTTGAACAAGATTATTTGTGTCTTGTCCTTCTGCACACAAAGGACAAAATCTCTAAATCAAAGTAAATTACAGTACAGAGCTACTCTATTGTCTCCAAGCATGCTTACCTACTTTACGAAAGAAAACTGTTCATATACGGCCAAAAGCCTGTACATCTGCAACAAAGGACAAGCTCGCCACTTGAAGCTTGTCACATACTTTTGTACCCTCTGACTTGTATTTAATGC